GGAACTTTTTAAAGTATTGAAGAGCAGAGATGTCAGCTTGAGGACTAAGGTGCACCTGACCCAAGCCATGGTATTTTCAATAACCTCATATGCATGCAAAACCTGGACAGTGAATAAGAAAGACCATAGAATTGATGCTTTTGAGTTATGGTGTTGGAGAATATTGAAAGTGCCATGGAATGCCAAAAGAACCAATAGATCTGTGTTCAAAGAGGTGCTGCCAGAGTGTTCCTTGGAGGCCAGGATGGCCAAACTTCGTCTCTCATACTTCGATATATTGTCAGGAGGGACCATTTGCTGGAGAAGGATATCATGTTTGGTAGGGTGGAGGGCTAGAGAAAAAGAGGAAGAGCCCAGTAAGAAAAAGAGGAAGAGCCCAGTAAGATGGATTGGCCAAGTGGCAGCATCAACAGGCTCACGTGTGGCAATGATAGTGAGGTTGGCCCAGACTTGGGCAGTGTTTTGTTCTGCTATGCATAAGGTTGCTATGAATCAGTACCAATTCAATAGCACCTAACAAATTGAAATACTGAAGGATTCTATGGCCAAAATATTGAATGATGCGGAAAGTATCAAAAGAAGATGCAACACTGGAGGCACTCAACTCACTTATGCCAAGAAATTTGTAAGACAACTACTTGGCCAACTGACTGGAAGAGATCCATATATTTGTGCCTATTCTAAAGAGGTGACCCAACAGAATGCGGACATCATTGAACAATATCATTAATAGCTCATACAAGGGCATTTTTTGCTAAAGATAATTCAAAAACGACCGCAACAATACATTGACAAGAGAATTTCCAGAGGTTCAAGACGTGGAATAAAGGAGATCATTGGTGACGTCAAACGGATCTTGGCTGAAAGCTGAAAATACCAGAAAGATGTCTACCTGTGCTTTATGGATTACACAAAGGTTTTCGATTGTGTGCATCATGGACAATACTACAGCGGATTACTCTGCAACACTTGTGTTCTTAAGGAACCTCTCTATAGACCAAGGCGACAGTTGCTCAAACAGAACAAGGGAACACCAAATGGTTTAAAACTAAGAAAGGTGTGCGCCAGGGTTGTATTCTTTCACCATAGTTATTCAGTCTGTATGCTGAGCACGTAATCTGAAAAACTGGATTATGTGAAGAAAAACGTGGCATCAGGGTTGAAAGAAGACTCATTAATAACGTGCAATATGCAGCTGATACAACCTTGCTTGCTGAAAGTGAAGAAGACTTAAAATATTTACTGATTAAGATCAAAGAGCACAGCCTTCGGTATGGACTACACCTCAATGTAAACAAAAATCCTCACTATTGGACCAATAAACAACATCCATATAAATGGAGAAAAGATTGAAGTTGTCAAAAACTTTATTTTGCTCGGATTAACCATCAACACTCAAGAAAGCAGCAGTAAAAAAAATCAAATGACATATATTACATTGGGCAAATCTGCTGCAGAAGACTTCTTTAATGTGTTTAAGAGCAAAAGATGTCAGTTTGATGACTGAGGTGCCCCTCATCCAAGCTATGGTATTTTCATTGACCTCATATGCCTGTGAAATCTGGACAGTGAGTAAGGATGAAGGTAGAAGAACTGATGTATTTAAGTTATGGTATTGGAGAATATTCAAAATACCACAAACTGCCAAAAGAACAAACAGATCTGTGTTGGACAAAGTACAGCCAGAATGCTCCATGGAAGCCTGGATGGCCATAGTATCAGGAGGGACCAGTTCCTGGAGAAGGATGTATTTCATAGGTCCCTGGAGAAGGATATTGTATTTCGTCAAGTGGAGGGTCGGAGAAAAAGAGGAATAACCTCAATGATATTAAGGCACAGTGACAGCAGCAATGGGTCAAACGTAGCAATGATTGTGAGGCTGGCACAGGACGCAGCAGTGGTTTGTTGTGTTGTGCATAGGGTCGACGTGAGTTGGTACAGACTCAATGGCAGCTAACAACAACTCATTTACAGAAGTCAGAATTAAATTTATGCCCACATATCAGCCACATAATCTATAAAAGCTATAAATGATAATGTATCAATTTAAGTGGAAATATATGCAAAACTGCTCAAAAAAAAAAGTAAGCACCCAGGTTACATATGTGTTGAACCTTTCTGTTAAAAACATGTTCCTAAACACCACTGTTGTGGCATTATAGGATCAGCACTGGTCTGAGAACGGCAAGGTAGACAGTTCAGACCCTTGAGCTGCTTCTTGGAAACCTGACATAGGGTTGCTCTGTGTCAGAACTGACTTGACTGCACTCACACCAACACGAGCCTCATTTTGAGACTTGGAGTACAACCTGCAGTCCTTGTACAGACAGGAAACTGCTGCTCTCCACAGAGTAACATTTAGAAAGGGATCCATGTTTGGGTTCTGTCAGCTCTGTCTGCCTCAGATCCACCACCCTGGTTTACTGCTGCCCCTCTGCCCTTCACATACACAGATCTGGCTTCAAGGCTAAGTCCCAGGAAGAAGAGAGTGTTCTTGTCCCTTGTTGAACTTTAGTCATGGTTGTGACTTAAGCCTATATCTTATCAGAGTATGTTTACTTTAAAGGTGATTATTTGAAAGACTGTTATTTTAATGGGTGACAGTAATTTAAGGACCACAGGTTTTCAGGGAGAATATATTTAAAAAATAAAAAGAAATAAAAATAGAAATCTGCTTTATAGCCCATCTGTCAAGAACTTTTAATAAGCAGTCTAAACAATGGTTTAAAAACAAAAGCATTTAAATAACATCATTCCACACATAAATAACTTGTTAAGCAATTAAAAAACAAAAAGAACTACCTAAAAGAAATCCACTTAAAAGTGTAAGTAAAAGAGGCAAAAATCAGGGGAATCATAGTGTACACCATCCCATCCCTCAAGGTCTTTCTTGTTGGGTGGGCCTACGACTCTTAGAGCAGTTATCACAATTAAATTAGATAATTTAGGTACTACTGTGTTGTTTTCTTTTTCATTCCATTTACCCATTTTTAAATTTAGTCTCATCCCAAATGATAATGTTCTTGGAATAATAGAAACGCTAATTACATATATTTAAATGTTGATCCTATGGCTGAAATGATTGCTTTTGCCACCAGTAGTTAACGCATAATCTACATTCAGCGTAAACTCACATCTTAAAAGCAGAATTATAATTTGAACTAAGAGCAGGTTTCCTATATTGCTATCCACCACAAACTCTGAAATGGAACACACGGTCACGACCCTTTTATCACCAACACTCAGTGGGAAAGCAAAACAAAAACACTTTGGATCCCTACTTCTTTGGTCGCCCACTTCTCTTCTGTCCTTTTTTTTTGTTTTTAGTGGGAACTGCCTTTTCTCCAATAAATAAACGTTTAGAATGTACTTGTGCATGTTTTGAAGTAAAATTCAGTCCTGGCTTAGGTTTACCAACATTCTTCAAACCAGGATTTGAATTCTGTTGTTTTACTTTTTCTTTACTGACAGAACGCAGGACTCTGAGTTTTCTTCCCATTAGTTCAGAATTATTTAATTTCATAGCAAGATGAACAGCATCTGTATTCTGAAATGAAAATAAATTATTTTTTTATCAGAAACTCATCTGTAAATAAACTATAAAATACCACACTAAATTAATGGTTTGAGAACTCTTCAAATTTGAATATATATACCCCTTCCATTTCAACACCTCAGAAATCCAATCCTGAGTGTTTTAACAGCTGCATTTGTGTACCAAGTCACATTGTAAGCAGGACTGACAAATTTCCCCCCAAGGAAGCTGTCAAGCTGCTTTGTCAATTGATCAGGCAAGTCACACACCTGTAGGTTTCATTTTTCTCCCTGTAAAATGAGATGTTAAAAACTATCTAATCATAAAAGAATTTCTGAAACGAATAAAAATGCCTCTTAACAGAATGGTTGCATAGGATAACCACTAGACCACAAAGTCAGCGGTTCAAACTCACCAGCTGCTCCTCGGAAACTCTATACAGGGCTGCTATGAGTCAGAACTGACTCAATGGCACTCAATGACAATACGAGTTCCTTTTAGATTTAAATTTCTAGCATTCCTTTTTTCTATTATAACCTTGTTTAAATCCAGCACCCTCTCCAAGAGAGAAAGGTAAAACTTTCCCCTCCCGTATACAATTACAGGGTTGATATGAGTCGGAATCGACTCAGTGGCAGTGGGGGTTAAATGTTTGTTAAGAGACTGTAAGGTTTACTAGTGAATTATCAAGAAGCATTAGGTAACTACAATCCAGTAACGCACAGTAAGGAAGGACTCCACCGGCCCTTCTTTGGGAACAGCTGTGACAGTGTGGCTCGGTCAGGACGGCAGCCTCGGCTCTACTCGGTCTTACAGGGTACTAAGAGCCAGAATGACAGCACTGGGTTTCATGACTTCTAAAGAGACTTAAAACTAATGCACATCTCAACCTACAGAGAGGCTTAGTGGGGAGCTAAACTAAGGAAGTGTAATCCAAAACAGGCATATATTAAAGGAAAAGCACACAACCACTGCAAATGTCTAACATTAGGAGGAAAAAAACAGTATAAACTATGTTACACTGTTATTAAGTGTCACTGAGTCGGTTTCAACCCACAGCAACCCTCTATAGGGTTTCCAAGGAGCGGCTGTTGAGTTTGAACTGCTAACCTTGCAGTCCAGCGCATTAGCCATACCAGGACTCCATTATTCAGTGAAATCTGAGAGTCAGAGATGTAGTGCATTCCACATCTAGTATGTAAAAGATGATCTCATAACATCACCATGGGTAAAGAGTGAACTGGAATACTTCTGGTTGAGGTGCCATTATTGTAACCGTAGTCCCTAACAGCAGATTATGAACTCAAGATTTCTGAAAACACAATTTGAGAGTGAAAATGACAATAACAATCCTTCCAGTTTTCAAAGCATAGTCTTAATACATGAGTCTGCCGTACCTCAAACAGTACATAGCCAAATCCTTTGCCAATCCCAGTCACTTGGTCTCTTATAATTCTCACAGCCACAATATTTCCACAGTCCAGAAAGTGTTCCTCAACAGCGGTCTCTTCAATTTCTATAATCAAATTCAGCCAAGCAGAAGTCACGACTTGGGACATATCCTTAGGAAGCTTGCAATTCTGAATACTAAACCTATCTACAGACTTAAACTAGCAACCAAAAAACAATTCCACCATTGTCAGTTCTGACTCACTGCTAACTGTGCCATAGAAATCAGTGTATTTATACCACAAACTGTTAAAGTTAGACTTCAAGCAAAGGCTGTTACTAAATCAATTCTAATAACAACAAACAGGTACTCTGTTTATACAAACTTACTTACTGTAAGGGAGATTCCCCACAAATACTGATCTCTTGTCCCTCTGAAACACAAGGAAAGTTAGAAAAAAAAAATCACTTGAGCAGAAGTCATCCTAAAATCCTCCCGTTCTTTCAACTCCATGCCAACCTGGCTACCAGTCCTGAATGAGCCACTCATCTCTCTCACGGATCCCTTGTTGGTTACATTCTTCTCTCTTCCAGGCGGCACCATGACTAAGTGCCCCAGAGAGAGTGACTTTGTTCACAGCTGGTACTGATCAAGAAAGGCTTGCTACCTCAGGTGCCAGAACAAACTGTCTGTAAAGAGCCAGGTATTTTAGCCTGGCAGGTCCCGTGGGTCTGTTGCAACTACTTGTCTCTGCCATTATAGCAGGAAAAGCGTTGTCAACAATTGGTGACTGAATGAGAGCATCTGTGTTCCAATGAACTTTATTATCAAAAGGGTGATGGGTAGATTTGGCCCCCAGGTTTGCTGACCCCTGTGCTACACACCCGAACAAAGTCAGTGCTTCTCATTTCTCTACTACATCACTTTGGCAGAGACTGAAATGAACAACTTCAGTGGCAAACCCTTGCAATCCATCTTTCATTTCCAGAGATAACTTTAAGAAAAAGCAAATCTTGTCACGTCACCCCATTTTATAACAGCTGCTGACCAAAATCCAGAACCCTTAGCATGGTGGCCAAGGGTCAAGACCTGGCCTTTCTCTCTCCTCCAACTGCACTTATCAGTGTCCCTTGTACCTCATACCTTTCATTTATATAAAGTTCTTGTCAGTCCCTCAGCAAATCAAGTTGTCTATCCCCACCCCTCATTCTAATGTTCTTCCTCGCTTTTTCTGGGGGTGGTGTTGTCATGAGAGGAGATGGCTTGAATAGTGCCTAGTCTTCTTTCAAAACTGATTTAAGACCTAAAACTCTTCCTTCACCCTTCTTGCTTGTACCTCCCCAAGTTCTGTGTCGCTTTACTGGCTGACAAGGCATCCTGTGTATATATCATATATAAATGGTTTTATAAATTAAAGTTGCTGAAAAATTCCATTATCTTTTCAATTTTTCCCATGAATTTTCTGAAGCTCCCTCATATCTACCACAAAATGATCTGTTCATCTTTATACTGTGAGCTCCTAGAGAATTCAGAGAGGTATTTGAATGCTACTTCGTAACGGGTTGAATTTCTCGGCCTCAGTCTGTATAGTAAGATGCCAGTTCAGATGGTCTCTAGTATACCTGCTGACTCTGATGTTGTCCGCTAGCAGAGTGGGGAGTGTATTCAAGCAGAAGACACCATGTTCCTGTGCCAGTCTAGTGCCTCTTCGGTTAGTACAGGGTGGAGGGGCCGTGTTTGTCTGTGCTTTCCTTCATGGCTGCATTACCCATGCCATTCCCTTCTCGGCACAAACAATGAAGGAATACTGTTCTCTGCAGGCCTATGCTTAAGATTTGTTTGTTTTAAAAAATTAAATATTGCTTACAGATGAGCTCTCAGTTGCGAGATCAACTCTAATACGAAATCCATCTGCAATTTGGGTCCCATTTCTATAAATATAAGGCAAAATCATTGTTAAAATGAGAAATGAGTTACTATAATATTAGCTCTAAAGTAAAATCCAAGAATGAAAAATGTACCCATATGTGCTTATATATAATACTACTGTTTAAAACTTGAAGGGATAATTTACCTTTTCAATGCTTTTGTAGCAGCACTCTCATCCTTAAACACAACATAAGCGTTAATATTTTTCTGATCGGGATGAATCTTACGTCTATACCAAATGGAAAAAAAAAAAAGTTATCAAAGTCAGAAGAATAAATACAGCTGTTTCTCCTCCCTATTCAATAAATATTGGAGGAATTTCTATTTCTTTGAATAATTATACAGCAATAACTCAAAAGGAAACGTAATTTATAAAGAAACTGGCGCAAATACGTAATCTACCCCTTCTTACAAAGCACCCCTTTTACAGGCACGGCAGCACAGCCCCAAGCTTAAGAACATTATGGACCAGACAGACCAGTTTCTGCTGCAGCTCTGAATGTGGCACACAGACAAATAAATGTGAACGGAAAAATAAAACCCCATATATGAAGAGTGACCAAGGGCCAAAGTCTCTGGGTTCCATTAGTCTATCTGAGCAGTAACCTGGTCTTCTTTATGGTTTTGAGTTTTGTTTCACATTCTCTCCCACTCCAGGACTTTCTAATGCGATCCCTCCCTTTCAGAGCTGTTAGTACTGGTAGCCAGGCACCATCTAGTTCTAGTTTTCGGGTCTAGTTTAGGGTTGTGGAGACATTTTTACAAGGTCTATTCGACCACTGGGCTGTTTCCAAACATCTTCAATTATCATCTCTCTTCCTGCATCTTATATGGCCTTCATGAGCTTTTACAATCACAGCTGTTACCAAAAGTACTAAGTTCTTTGATCAGGAGGCACATTATGTCTGCTTCCACACTTCATTCACTGTTTGTAAAATGGTGACATAATTTGCATGTTTTAAGAGTAATCAGTCTTGGGAAGAACAAACAAGATGGCGGATTGGGTGGAAGTGCAATAAGGAGTTCTGTCAGCAACAAAACAGAATACCCGAACAGCAAAGATCAAAAAAGTTAAGGACAATAAATGCTGGCGAGGATGTAGAGAGACTGGGACACTCCTGCATTGCTGGTGGGACTGCAAAATGAACCATCCTCTCTGGAAAGCAATATGGCACATCCTCAGAAGGTGGGAAATAGAAATACCTTATGACCCAGAAATTTCTCTACTAGGTTTTTACCCACAAGAAATATGAGCCATAACACGAGTAGATATATGCACACCAATGTTAATAGCAGCACTATTTACAATAGCACAAAGATGGAGACAGCCAAAGTGCCCATCGACTGATGAATGGATAAACAAGCTGTGGTACATACACACAATGGAGTATTATGCTACCTTGAAGAATAACAAGGAAGCTGCATGCCACTTCCTAACATGGATGAACCTTAAGGACATTATGTTGAGTGAAATTAGTCAGTCACAAAAGGGAAAATGCACAGGACCACTACTGTAAAAGACTAAGAAAAAGAACCCATACTAATCCAGTAAAGTGGATTCTTAACAGGTTGCTAGGGCATAGGGGTAGGGTTAAGGATGGGAGGGGAGGGTGGAGCACAAGGCAGGGAATAGACACAGGATAGGTTGGGTGTTGGGGAAGGGGGGACAATATACAAGTAGAGAGAGGGAAATGGAAGAACAATGCAGACTGGCGAACAATTAAGACAGGTAGGAATGAGCTAAATGGGACAGAGGTAATAAATGATGTAAGCACAGCCTTGGAACAACAGGGTTCTGGGATACAGAGACTGGGACATGGTGGGAATGGGGAAAAGGGGGGAATAATGTTAACATGCTTGGCTGACTTTTGAACCTTGGTTTTCCATGCATTATATTATAAAACAGTCATGTGAGAGTAGAGAAAGGAATAACCAGAAATACCACTATAAAAAGCTTGTAAGTCCGTCTTCTGCCTAAAATTGATTGGAATACCTAAAAAGGGGCTACAGTGTGTCCAGTATAGGGATGGACAACTTAAACATTGGCTACCCCAAATGGGGGGAGGGATACAAAGGTAAGAAGTGACTGGCTTACAAGAGGTAGCCTAGATCAAAAGAGCGGGGAGGACGGTAGAGTCTCAAGTGAGTAATAGCCAAATCTTTCTAAGAAGGGCTGATGAAAAGAAATGCAGATAGGTCTCTTGTGATGCAAGGGCGAATAATTGTTGTCGGGATGGACTGTGAGGACTGGAAATGTAAAGGTGGGTATTTTATAGCAAGGCCCCTGGGACCATCACTGGAGAAGAGCGGAGATCGGGACCCCACCCAGAGAAGCAGTGAGGCCTGAGATGGAGACAGACAGCATGACACGGAGAGACGGAGTGGCTGAGGACTTGAGATCCAGGGAGGGAAGGGAGTTGTGTGCTGAGGACTGTGGGGGGAGGAGGGGGCCTGCAGGGTATATCCTTTGGTTGGGTGATGATGCATGAACGGGATGGTAACTATGGCAATGAAACAATGTATGATGGAATGAATGTAAAACTAATGTTCCCCCATGTAAATTATCACACAATAAAAAAATTAAAACAAAACAAAACAAAAACCCAGAATACCTGACCAAGCAGGTTCAGGGGATGGTCCCACAACTCTGAACCATATATAAAAGGGATATTTATAAGGTTGGAAGGTTTACAGCTGGGGGAATTTGTGGCAGAAGCAAGAAATCCATTGCTTTCTAGTCGGGGACGCTCAGCTGCTCCAGGAGCCGCCATCTTGGGTGAGACCAAAAGGCGGAAGGATCAGAGCAGCCACGGATGCCTGGCAGAAATGCAGAGATAAAGGTGTGGATATTCTTTTCTTTCACCTCCATTCTGGTGACTATAGGGGTGTCTGAGCTAGTGGACACCCCAGCCCCACCCTCAGAGGATTCTACTACGAATGCGCACAGATCTCCTCGAAATTTAAAGAGACACTTTCCACTTAAAAGCAAACGGCCACAGCTGTCCCTGAACTGTTTATAACTAGCAAGAGGCCTGAACAGGGATTGTGGAGCGGGATAAGCAGACAAAAAAGAAAATAGGCCTAAAATTAAATCCTAAGATACGTCAAAACGACCAAAAGTGGCATCTTAAAATTTCTCAAGAAGAAGAGTGAAAAAGGAAGCCCATTACCTGATCACATCTACTTGGAGGCAATCAGAAAGCATAAAAAATACCAAAATACATACCCATTTAAGTATCAAGGCCACAGATAACCCCTGAAGATGCCCCAAAAAAAGAATCAGATGACCATATCTGCACATGTCCAGAAACGAGATAAAGTGACTGAGGTAAATGAGCTGGAAGTAGACCTACACTCCATACTGGAAGATGGGCAGGCTTTGGAAATGCCTGAGAAGGAATTC